TGAAGAATTTATTAATTTTAAATCATTATTTATGCAATTAGTTGTTCACATTATTAATACATTCGCAGTCGCTAATGTAAATTTACGTCGTTTCTAATCTTGTCATTTCTGGTTGACATTTTAACTCTCGTTTAATTTGTTTCATTTCTAACAATCGATAGTTACAAGTCCGATATATTATACGAAATTTTAAAGCTCTTGTTATAAGTGTCCAACAATCGGCTAAAACCAGAGAAAAGCGAAAGAAATAGTCTGATCGCGAATGCGTTAAGAAATGTAACGTTCTCGACAGTTACATGTACAGTTTTTTTTCTTTTAATAATGTTTATTTTTCAAATGTTTCTATATTTCTTGAAGTAATAATTGTCACGCATTTTTTATTTATACACTAAGTATTTATATGTTAATAAACAAATAATGATACAGTTTTTGTTATCTAATAGAGGTTGATTGTATTCATATATTCAAATATATGTATACAGTGTAACATGTACTTTGAAACATTAATGCACAGGTTCATGTTTAATGTGCGTATAAAAGAGCCAGTTTTAAACTGTATTGTTTCAGCAGAATTGAACAATTTGTTTCCATCGTATAAGATGAAAAATCCATGGACAGACAAGAAATATGTGTGTAAACGAATGGAATGCAATCAGGTATACTGTAAATTTATGTATACAGAAATCTCGTTTTTTTTTCAAATATTGAAAATAAAAAGTTGTTTTCAGAGAAGTTGTCACACTGAACAAACTTCCATGGGACAGTATAATATTGAACTTGAACATGTTTCGAGAATATTACATGTAAAATATTTATGTGCAGTATATACGTTATATTTCCTTTATCATGTGAAAACATTTTCTTAACCATTGTATCTTGAATGGATCGAGCAACTTTTATTGTACACTTAAACTGAGTATCATGTAGATTGAAATGTCAAGGAACTCCTTCAAAATGCGATAACTTTGGAATTGCTATGGGAACGGAATTCAGTTGTGGCAGTTAATGGAACAGCGTTTACAAAAACTAAATACGTATTTATCCGCGCGAAGATTTCTTCGGAGATATATGGTGCTGAATAGAAACAAATAAGGGAAAAAGGAGGGTTGAAGGAGAGAAAGTGATGGAAAAATTCAAGTCTGTTTGCGCCATGGCTAATAGACGTTAGCTTGAACGACTTGATTCTTGTACTTCACTGCTTTACTGTCCGAATCGCTATGAAAATTATCTGCGTTTCTCTCTACCACACAATCCCCGAAGCTGTAAGGAATCACGAGTCAAACGGTAATATAAAAACGCAGGATGCAACATGTATTTGAATTTGTATATTTTTCACTGTATTATCACGAATCCGTTGGGAACAGATTACCAAAATAAAAATGAGTTTAATAGCATGCAATTCAAGGTAATGCAACAATTTTACGTTTCAACTCATTTTTGTTTGAAGAGTTTCGTCAGTCTATTCCTAACATTTCTTTTTCTTTCTAATATAGTGATAAATATAGGAATAACAATTTTCAAGTTCGCATTGCCGACTAAACCTCTTGGCCCCTTGCTGCCTGTAAGATTACAAGAAAAGAATGAATATAGATAGTGTTCAGAAATGTTTAAACGTTTAAGCTATTTCGAATGTCAAGTCACTTGGGCAGACGTCTACTTGGCGAGGCTCAAATGGGTTCGATATTCAATCCGCTTGAGCTAGATTCTGTTTGTAGAGATTCGAGTATGTCCAAGCATTTATACTGCTCGAATGGGTTCCGTTAATATAGGTTCAAACGAGCTCAAACGGCTTGGATAACTCATCGCTAAATGTGTCATACTAATGGAGCTACAGCTTCTATGTAGGAAACAGGGATAAAGAGTGAGAGAATGCATTAAGTAGAAAGCTAGGAAGATTAGAGGAAGAAAGTAACGAAGGAAAAAATAAATACGAGTACTGCTGTACTATCAGGCGGATTAAATTGTTATATGAAACATAATGTTTTAGAATGCCTTGTATATATGCCAGCTGTTTCTATTTCTATTATTATGGTAATCATGTTTGCCAATTTACACAATGCTTTATTTTCGCAATATTTATGTTCGATATTATTCAAAATACGAGGAATGTATTAATTGTCCAAATGTTGATACAAACAGTTTTACATATTTCTTCAATAATGATTTCTCATTTGGTTTTTCTTTTTTTTCAAATATCTCGGTTGTAACGAATAATTTATATTATAAATTTGGATTAATATTCAAATAAACATTTTGGAACATTAACAAAAAGCTAGAGCAAGTATTGGTTACATACAATGTTCCTTCTAAATTATTTTATACTATGTACTCAGGATATATGTTATAAATAGGATCTATTTATGTAATATACTGCCATGGTACAGTAAAAGATCTTTGGTTGCATATTTGAGTTAAAGACCTTCTTGTGACTTTAGCATCAACCAAAATGGTATCACCATTATCATGTAACTGGCTAACATTTGTAACTTGGTTCTCTTGATTTTGAGTGAATAAAAAGTCCGTATGCGATTAAGAAATATTATAATTGACCATGAATCTTTTCTGTTCAATAGATTCCACCCCTACTCACCTGAATCTTCAACCCACACTCCTGCTCAGTAAAATTTCAGCTTTTGGATATCTACAGCTTTTTTTAAATGTTTATTACAAATTTGTACAAACATATATTTATCCTTGTATTGTAAATTCATTGAAACTAAACTAAGCCGTTTTTATATTTGGATGTTTTAATTATTATATATAATACGTAAATTTGTATAATATTTAATTTGTATATTTAAACATACTTTTATAAAGAAATGATCAACGAACAAAAGATATTAAATACTTAAAGTATGTCAACTGTATTATACATCCAAGTAGGGTTTGACGGTGAAAATATCTTTTATCTTTTACGAGAACAGATAAGATGCATTTTCCACCTGTTATCGGATATTTCTTATCAAACCGTTGATTCACAACGGATTCACGTTTATATCGCTTTGGCGTTCCAACACGATTTCCTTACTCAACTATTTCAACTACAAGTGATTTTCAATTACAAGTGTATTCAAGTTTTCATCTAGTTGATAAAAAAATGTGTTCCAAAAAATTATTGTGCTACTTCACTATTGGCTTGCGTAAGTAAATATATAAATGTTCATATTATGTTTCTTAAGCATACTAAACTAATCGACAAATGTGATACATTGATTCCCACGCAGTGCAAAATTGGATGTGCTTAGAAATGCATTTATTTCCTAACATAATTGTGCAAATTTCTAGACTTTGCATACTAGTGTTGTTAATGAAACGTATTTATAATATACCTGCTAACAAACTTAATAGTATTAGACATGAATAGAAATGAAAAAGATTATTGCACCATGAATAAGCATGTTATACAAATGATTTCTAACGATAATAGGGAAAAACAGAATATCACTTCTCATTAATAAACTAACTTTAAACAGTGTTCATGGGTCTTTTTATGGATGAAGTCGAAGCAAGACGTAAAATTTTAAGAGGGCGGAAAACGATTACAAGACGTTATTACTGTAAGTGAAAAGTACTATAGAAATATAATATAATTAATGACATGTATAAAGACTAAATATGCCTATTTTCCTAGGGGGAACGGCTATTCCCGCATGGTCTATAGTTCTACTAGTAGGAATTTTTATGCTGCTCGCCGGTGGAGGACTTTGTGTGCTACTACAAAAATTTGTAGTGGATAATGCTGAGACCGCGGAAAGACATTCGTATCACCAACCTGTTTTACAAAATGATGCTTAAATTTAAGGATACACAAAAATTTAATTATCACTCATTACACAATTTTTCTATACTCTATGAAAAAAAAACATTGTAATATTCTTACAACCCAAAATATTTTATATGAACTTAGTGACAATGTGTTATTGACTTTAACACCTACAGGACGATATCACCTATCGTTGACCCACTACTGACTGTTCTCGTGTAACAGTAAATAATAATGTAAACGTCAAATGACATAAAATAATACGTTACTAAGAAACAAGATTAACAAGTAAAGAAACTATAAATCGAAAAATTGGATATTAATGACAAGAAATGCTTTCTTAAAATTAATTGTTCAATTATAAAAAATGGTATCAGTAGCGAGTTTTATCAGAGCACTATCATCCTGAACGTGTTAATATAGCTACTTCTGTCGATTGCCTAGTATTTTAATATCATTAATTATCGAAATTGAATAACATCGTTATTTTTATAATTGTGCCTTTCATAGTACTTTTTATTCCTTTACTAGTTCAAAATTGTGAAATATGTTTTATAAATTACACAATAATTAAGTATGGTTATATCATCATCGAAAGATACTTAAGTTACAACAAACGACGTTCAATTGAACAATACAGTTTGAAAATCAATTACAGCTTGCTTTGTACAGTCGGATACAAGAAAATGATCAATTTTCGGGCTTGTTAGATTATTAATTCAATATATATATTATACATTGGTAATTAATTATTAATCGGTATGAAAAGAGAAATAATTCTATTATTTAGAATTCTCTGCGATGATACTTGTCGGAATCAAAGTAAGATGTCACAACAACACGATTGTTGAATTTTCGTCCCGTAAGTGTTTGCTGTGCCTTCTGGCAGTCAATCACGCTATTAAATTCGACAAATACCTGTAATAAACAAAAATTATGTAAAAATATATGCTTTTTATTTATATATAATCGGAAATAAATAATAAAACTATACACGTAAAACTTACTTTTCCACATCCAGGTACATCAACACCTTCTATAGGCCTTGGTATTTCTACAGAGCGAACCACACCATATTTATTACATTCTTCTTTAATGTCTTCTAGAATATCCTCGTATTCTTCTTCTTCCATTAGTTCCTCAGGAGTTACCATGTTCAGTAAGCAAAGTACCTATATAAGTTATTCAAATAATTTTTATCCATTCTGTTTTATATAAAAACAAAAAAATCATAATTGAAATTACCTCAGTTGCTGGACCACTAGTTCCCACCATAGACAATCCAGGCACCTGAATTTGTACTGGAGCTTGTGCGCCAATCATGGGATTTTTGGCACCTACGCTAGCCCGTTGAACGATCAGTTTTTTATCTCCCAACTGCATACCATTTAATCCAGCGATTGCTTGATCGGTCATCGAGACGTCAACATACTCGCAGAATGCATAACCCTTGGATAGACCTGTGGCCGAGTCCTTCACTAGGTTGAATGCTCTTAGTTGTCCAAAGCTCATCAATAACTCCTTCACCTGTGTTATGAAAACAAACATTATTTATTTACTTATGTTGCATTAAGATTATCTAGATCTGCTTAGACTATGCAACTCATTTTTCTTTATTCTATATATTTTAATAATATTCATAATTTTCTATTCATACATATAAGACTAACATCTTAAAACAAAACTATCTCCAGTAGCCGACACCGTCTGTACAGTTATAACAACAGATAAGTAAAAAATAAAAAATATAAGAATAATAAACACATGTTTTAGACAAATTTTATCGATGTCATGACAATGGTTTTATCAATTCTTAACATTGTATTATATACTACACCTTATTGTAAATTTTACTTTTCTGATTTCATCACTTTCAGCAATACTATCTGATTCGTCATATGTCAGAATACTCTGTAAAGTATTCCTCTGGCGAGTTAACAGGCTATTTGCAAACTAAAACTACATAGAGACCAGGGAAATCGTCAGTTCGCAATTCATTTTGTAACAACGAACACGACAAAATAAAATACAATAAAGTAAGATATAAAGATAGAGAACGATATTGGCAGAAGATTTCACGTCTATGGTTTTTTTTATGTTTACGGAATTTGTAATAATCATCTCACTGTCTTGTGGACATGGTGATACTATGTGTTAAGAGTCTTCTCAGAGAGAATTAAGTAGAACGAGCGAATGATTCCCTTTGTCCGTGTACAGTTTTAGCTTACAGGTAGTCGGTTAACTTATGAGAGGCGTACTTTACATGTTGAGTTATCGGCTACTGTAAAAATGTAATTAATATTATTATATGTTTGCAAACTATGAATGAAAAATCTGTACATTAGAGTTTATAGGTAGTTTTTAAATATGTCTAACTATAAGTTGCATAATCCAAAAGTAAAAAATTCAATATAAATGAATAGATATATCATATCTCGCCTATGTGATTTCCATATAACATCTTCATACAATATCTTTCTTACATACAAAAGTTTTACTCCAGTCTGGAACAGATTTTTGTCAATGTTTCGAACAGAACACTCTTGCTCTTCAAACGCGGATTTCTCCCACATTCATTTCTATTCTCTCTTCAGAAAGAAGTGTACCTTAAATTTACTTACGTTTTTCCACTTCCCTGAAGTACTGAAAACTCTAAAGCAGAGATAACAGCATGTTGCATTTAATGAAGATGTATCATTATTACTGGAAGTTGATATTTCCAAGTAACTGTGGTATACACAGCTTAACAATCGATGCTTTATAAATGTTTCAATTAATTTATCAAGGCATATGTAAACAATATCCTAGTCTATCTTAGTTCAAGCATTAATTATTAACGATCTGTAATACGATCCGAGAAACTGTATATGCCTTCATTAATTCTGTACATATACCTCAATAAGGACTGTATCATCGTGAAGACGTTAGATTTGAATTTGACTGAAATATTATGACTACCTAGGAGAATAAGCCACTTCTTGAAGTGAGCATAGAAGTTTCACACATTAAGATTTTACCATTTTAACCCTTATGTAATTCGGTATTTCCTAATACACTGTTAATACTCATGTGATATCAAGCAACACGCTATTATCAATGAAAAACTATCGAATTAGAAAACGCACCATTTGTACGGAAGGACCAAAGTCTTCAAAAAAGGGGCTGCAAAAGTCGCATAAGCCCAATACGAAGGCATGAAAATGATATAAGTACTTGCCTCGAGGGACTGGGCTAGCCTCTCTCCAGGCAGTGTGGTATTTTGTCATGTTCAGTAGTAGTAGTAGTGGTAGAAGTAGTGGTAGAAGTAGTGGTAGTGGTAAGCAAATGCTTTTGATCGGCGCGACCCTAAGCTAAGAAATGGGGAGAAAGGGCACTGGTATCAGTCCACAGTTACTACACAATAACCAAATGGTTATACTTGTTTGTTTGTTTGTTCGTTTGTTTGTTTGGTTCTTTTTCTGATTGTATTACTTCAACAATATTATCACTGTAAGAACACAGTATTAACTTTTCCGACGTTTAACGTAATCACATTTTTACCGACTTTTATTTTCTTACTTTCTCTTTGCACTTTGTCTTTGTACAAATGCACATTACTGATACTTATAAACACATATAAGTTCATTCGTGTAACCTGTAAATGTAACAAGGCACAAGGACGAAGAGTTGTAAAGCCTGAAAAGCCTGTAAAGAAAATAGCTGCAAGAGAAAAGATACTCCTGAAAAGAATAGATGCCAAAGGACTTGGAGCTGTTACCAGATGCACATAAGATTTATGTGTTGACCCTGTAATCCCATTAAAAAAAAAACTGATGCACAAAACGTTGACTTATCTCTTGTAGTCCTAAAAAATCTGTTTCGGATGTAATACCACAGCATGAGAATAGACTGACTCTGAAATAGTGTTCTAGATGTAGGAATTACAAAGAACCTTTATTATTGAAGATAATTCTTCGCACCTAACAATTCTCAATGTGAATAATTATTTTATGTACAACTACTCTTCCCTCCTACCCTTCCCCCTATAAATCTGATTTGATATTCAATCAAAGGTTCCTGAGTATAAAGAAAAAGGTTTCGTATTCCCTTGGTTGGGTCCACGATGATCTTCAAAGAACTGTAAATAAATGCGACAGCTACAGCCACGTGCCGCCTGAATGCTGTAACACCTCTAACTATTTCCCTATCCGCTAACGAATAATGGCGATTCGAGAAGAGACGAACTTCCAAGGAATTACAAACTTCAACGCTGCCAACTCTTGGCTAGAAACACAAATGGAACTGCAACCTACTTCAACTAATTTAAATAACACCTAGCCGACGCTGAAATCCAATGGATACACATACATACCTCTATGGCATTTGGATAGCTGACACACATCTTCGCAAGTTTTGAACTCCGCTAAATAGCTAAATGCCTATGTTATAATTTAATCCTTTGGTATAACTCACAATGCTGAGAACTAGCATAGTTAAAGTAATCCTACAGCATTGTTATACTGCGGCGCAATTAATTTAATCTCTGATGCCAATTAAATATATTGTATATGTTCAACACCTTATTGTGATTTCGATCAAGTAAAACAGATTCATTTAAGTATCGACACCAGTGACTAAAAACTGCATCCAAAGGTGTGCAATAAACGAAATACTATATCACAGATTTGTTTGCATACCTGTTCTTCGTTCAAATAATTGGGTAAACCACCAATGAAGATCTTGTGTGGAGAATCTGAAATTTCAAAACGTTGTATTATACTTCACATTAAATTGTACCAAGAACGTCTAAGAAGCACATAAGATGTATAAAGAGTATGTATAAAACATACCGGGAACCGTACCTGGCACGTTCATACTTGGATTATCAGTCATTCCTGGCATTGGCTGATAATCGTGTGGTCTTCTTATTTTCAAACTTTGCCCCTTAAAGTTGATGCCATCAAAAGCCATAGCTTGTGTCGTTTCGTCTATCGAACGGAACTAAAAAAATAAAATAAATATTTCACGGTGTAACACATGCTAAACGTAAAAAAATCTCATTTCCAAGCAAATATAAATATACCTCTAGGAAAGCAAAGTTTTTGTCTAAATTGATTTGACATGCTAATACTGGATTTCCAGCAGCCTGTGCAAGTCCAGAAAGATGCATTTGTTGATTGAAAAACTCCATCATTTCTTCTTCAGTCACGCCGAATGGAATGTTTCCTACATAAAGTCTTCTTGCTTGTCGAGTAATCGTACTACCAACTACTGGTACAGCTGCTTGTGGTGTGTCTGCCACTATGTTTGCCGGGATTTGTCCAGCAGCTTGCATTGCTTTATACTGTTCAAGTAAAAGTTTCAGTATTATTAATGCAAACAAACTGATCAACCTAAATTATAACTTGAATATATTAACATATTACATTATACTAAATTTATATATCATGCTACACACAGTATGTTACACTATTTAAATATCTATAAATTTGTTTCCAATTAGTTGATTATTATTTATTAATGGATTATAGTATTTTTCTTCTTATTATGTGCAATTCATTGGAATTTTTGTAAAACTTTGATTTTATTAATTATTATTAATCATTCAATTTATAATTCCTATTCTTTGATTTTTGGATCTATTAATTTATTTTCTAACTATTTTAATTCTACCTATGTTAATCTTTACAGAATTTAGAAACCTGACCAAATTCAGACCAAATTTCCATTTAACTTTGTAAAACTGTGATAAGTAAAATATTGATATACTAGGTAGGTGTTACCTATAATTCCTAAAACCTATAATTCTTTGGTTTTAATGGAAAATATCATTTCGTTTAAACAAATATTTTATGTAACTATTAATAGATTACAAAAGTTTAAAATATGGTCAAATAATTTAACAAATTCTTTTAATGAATAAAGAATCATTGATTCTTAATAAAAAAAATCAGGGCCATATTTTTTTATCAGATACTGCAGATACATTGAAGACATGCATAAAATCCTTTGTTACATGTTATATGACTTATGAATTAAAAATATTGATTTTGATATTTTATAATTATAATTATAATTATGATTTCTTTATTATTAGAGGTATTTTAATATTAATGATAAATATTTAAATAAACGATCTGAACACTTACCTGTAAAGGAGTAATATGTTCGAACCCAGGTGGTGGAACATCCCAATAAAGTGATGGTTTTCTTCTTCTGGAACTACGACTTTTTTTGGGTGAACTACTTCTCTTTCTATCTCTTCGATCTTTCGATCTTGAACGTGAACGTTTTCTACGATCTCTACTACGAGATCTATGTCGCCTATCACGATCCCTGTCCCTGTCCCTATCCTTATCCCGGTCTTGGCGATCACGATCTATGAAATACACATAAAATACATGTAAAAATATCAATTAAATACATTTTCTTATTAGCAATAATAACATTTTTATGTTATTTAAAAACATGGTTAAGTATTGTAAACTATTTTTGATATAATTTTGTTCTATACCCATATTATTTTTTCATTACTTTAGAATTTGCATATAGATTATTTTTTCTATATAATTCCGTGCACACATGAATATTGATGAAATTATCGACTATATACATAACTCACAGTATATACATGCATTCTCAATACCTGCACCTCAAAAATTAAAATATTAGAAAAATGATGATTTTTAAGTGTAATAAAATGTACAAAAAAACGAACAAAGAACACAAAACTCTCAGAGTCTGATGAAAAGTATACCCATGAGAACAATCTTCTTAGAGGCTTGTTTATCAGGTTAACGTTAAATTCGCAGGATCTTGTCAAGAATGATTGGATGTTGGTCAGTTTATGTTGAAGTCAATTGTGGATGATTTGCGGATAAGAGTTCTGTTGGTTTTTGTGAAAAAATTCTAACAGAAACTGTCTCCAAATATGTTTATCACTTTCACGAATGTGTTTCTCCGGCCATTACAATCACCGACTTATTTACCTGGCTGTAACGCGGGAACAGTAGCAAAGCACACAGTATTCTTGCGAACATTTAGAATACTCACCTCCATTGTAATCTTCACCCATTTTACTATTAATTACCTAGATCCACGAATTTTATTTCAAGAAACAGTACTGTATAAATAACAATAAGATTAGTAAATGTCAATGCGTCTTAAAACAAATTTTTATTCCGAAATGGCGATAGGCTAGATAGTTACTGGCTAGTGAATTATAGTACTGATATCAACATGTACTACAAGATGGCGTGAAGTGCGATCAGAATTGACCTTTACGTAGTATAAATATTTATGATAAAAAGTGCGGAGAATTTGCACATATTATGATTAAATATTTGATCTAACAGTATTAGATTGCATTATCTATTGCCCCAAATCGATTCATATATTTATAATTGTTAATTATGGTATTTTTAACTGATGTTAATTTTTTCTATATTTTCTATTTAAATATATAACATCATTAGAATGAGGATTCTTTCTCACAACGCTAAGGAACCTCTTATTCTTTTTCCATTTCAAGAAATAACATTATTTAACGTTACAGTTCTTCTATCTATTTGTTGCTTGTAAATATGGGTATAGTGAGTTGTAGCGACATCTTTTATATAGAATTTCGAGGAGTCAGTGGAACGCTAAAATTGTTTTAGGAATACAATAAATAATAAATATACATAAGGCACTTAAAGCAGGATTTTTTTAGATTCAATCTATGCACTAACAAATCCCATTAACAAAAAATCAAGGCTGAAACATTCTATAATAGAAGTGTCTAACTTATTCCCCTTACGCTAGTAACTCGGAAACAGTGTTCCCCCACTATCCTACTTAAAAAAGCTACCCGAGACTGTGTATGTGAGTAGTTGTATAAGTATAATATCAGGTAAAAATAAGAGCTGTGGACAGGATAACTTTTCATGAGGGGAGTGTCACTAAAATGCCCACGGGCGCCAATTTAACCACCCTTGCTGTACATGAAGGTCTCTATAAGTACTCAATACACAGGTGAAAAAACAAATTATTTAAGGATGGAGACGATAATTCTCCGTGAGGGGAAAGACCCTAGAGTACTACATATAATCTTATGTACACCATAAAAACATGGATTTGATTATAAACATATGAATATAATTTCAAATTTGTGAGGATTACAGTTTTATAATTAGGATTAGGCAATATGCGTGGAACAGTATCCAATGAAATCCAGATATCAATTCTAGGAGTTCCTGCTTTCAAACAACGGTCAACCCTGCAAATGATGCCCTCTATCCCTTTATGCCTATGCCCATGTATAGAATAGACAAAAATTCCATTTTCATTAATTCTTTCAAATAATAGAATATACTAGTAAATAACTATACACATGTTTTGTTTGATAGTGTATATATAGTATAAATTAAACAAGACACTTGTTAATTAACAATCGAATTTATTGTGAATATGTTTATGGTGCTTATTTAAACATGTCTCGGATAAATTTGTGATGGAAAAAAATGTGAAATTCGTAGACTTACTTTCTACTTATGATAACATGGACAGTAAGAAAACAATTGGTCAGTGTTTAAAAAAAATAAGAGACAGTAAAAATATATTAGAAGAGCGTTTAAGAAAGGCTGCCAGCGTTGGCGATATAGACGCAGTTCAAGAATTGCTAAAGTCAGGAGTTGATGTTAATGCACAGGACATTCATAGTGGATGGTATATTCCTCATTATTTGTGATATTGTGTACACATTTTTTATAAATTATAAAACGCATTTACTAATTTAAACGTGGTATTTCTATCCTTACTAAATTAAAATAATTTTAAATTTAAAATGCCCAAACAATCCTGTAATTCATTGTTCTTTTTCAAGGACTGCTTTACACTGGGCGTGTAGAAACGGTTATTTTGATGTAGCTGCCCTTCTTTTAATGAATGGAGCATTTAAGTATATCAAATCTAACTTTGGAGAAACTCCAAAATTTGTATCTACCAAACCACAAATTCTGAAACTTTTAGATGCAGTTGATTCGAAATTAGAATTGAATGATATAACAATGCATAATAATATACCAAAGTATTTGAAAAATGACTTTGTACATGGAACTGTAGATTCAGAAATACATAGAATGACTTGCAACGGTTTATACACAGATGGTAAGATACTTGTCATTCTTTTGTTTTATGTATTTTGCTACTGTTTTACTAACATATTCTGCATTTTAGAATTAATATTAAAGATTCGTATTGCTGATGCTCTGGATCCAGACTTCATAGAAGTTGAAATATGTCAAAACAATTTGACATATCAGACGTTAATTGATATATGCTGCCAGGAATTAAATATTGACTGTACCCAAATTGTAAAGTTAAGAAAACTTCCCAATACTAAATTAAGGAAAGATAAAGATATTCAACGACTTCAGAATTTCCAAGAAATTGAAGTTGTTACTAATGCTGTTAATACACACAAATATGTGCAAAATACAAGTAGTGTTCAGAATAACATTCCAACAGTGCCAGCAAATGGATATCAAAGTATTTCTAAAAAAGATCAAACTATTTTATACTAATTATTATGATTACGATTGTATTTGTTTCCCCTTGCGTATGTTAAAATTAAGAATATAATATTTAACACAAATATTTTGTGTATAATCAAGGAAGTAACGCTTAGCAAACAATAGTTGAACATCTCATATATGTCTAACAGAATATTCAGATAACGATAGTTAGAAAAGTAATTTTTCAATTTTATTTACTAGATTCAATAAAGTAATACATAAATCATTACAATTTTTTGTTGATTTTACTCATTTTTAACCTTTATTCTTCTTTCGTACAATAACCTCTCCTTCTGGTCTAACAGTGACTGTAACATTATTAGTGACAGTACTTAATTCATCTGTCACATCACGATATGCTTTAGGCCGTTTGGCCTGTACCACTGGTATTTTAACAGAATTTTTATTTCCTGCAAAGTGAAGAGAAATTAAAGAAAATCTAAAAGCACGTAAAAGTATTCTTTTGTTTAAAATTTAATGCAAAAAAGTAATAAAACATACTCAATGATGTATAAATAGGAATAGCAAGGCTTTTGGCTGTTTTAAGACGAATGGAACGTATATTAATCCAACCTCCTGGATAATTCTTAGATAAACCAATACATGTTGCTAACACATTTTCTAAAATTTCTTCTTTTTTCATTGATGTATGTCCAATTTGAACAATATGAGTATCACCACATGAATGCAACTGCATACAAGTCTTTTTTAAAGCATATTCTATTTCATGTTTCAGATCTTTACTTTTCAACCTAATAGATGCTGGTAATTTTCTTTTCTTGTAAAACTCTCTCCCTAATAAATGAGACAAATGTCCAGCAATTTTTCCATCTACAAGAAAATGATCATAGCTTCCAACAAGTTTTCTTTTTAACTCATATTGATCGTATTCAGTTTTAACTTGGTTCATAGATATTATTTTTATGTTTGTGCAACCATGTTTGTGTAATAATTCTTCATAATGCTCCACTGTTATCTCATTATCTTGTCTTCTACCTCTTTGTAGATCGCCTACAAATAATGCAATTTCATCGTCTTCAGAAACTATTGAATATGGTAATAATCTGAAAAATAAAAATTTTGAATTATAACTACTTTCTATCATAATAAGATCATATGCTATAAACACATAAGTACATCATTCTAAAGAAATATAATCATGGTTCCTCATAAGGATCCATTGGTAATTAAAAAGCTATAATCATTTGTAAGCTATAGATAATATAAATAGACATGTGTAATAAATTGAAAATATTCTTCTTTAAAATTATTTGTAAAATAATTATAATTTCAATATATTTGCACCTACATTCTCATGTGTCTCCTTGGTGTTTTCGGTACTCTTATGCATGTTACTTGCATAAATATTGGGTGGGACTCTCCTTCAAATAAAGCATTTTTATTTTTCAATTGCTCCTCATTTAAATGGAAAATAGCACTGATACATTGAAGTATATGTTCTTTTGACAAGTCAGTTAAATTTAATGTATCTGTATTTTGTTTATTATTATCTACTTTCTTCCGTTTTTTTAATTTTTTTACACCCAGACTAATAGTTTTCGAAATTATATTTTCAGATGAAAGTTTATTTTGTATACCATCATTTACAGTACGTTTTCGTTTTAAGCCACGTTTCACTATTTTACCATTCTCTTCATTTAATGTCTTGAAATTTTCAGATTTCGTGGAACTAATATCCTTGGATTTACGAATATTTCCCTTACTAAGCTTTCTTGTTATGGATTCCCTTTTATTAACTTTTTCAATCAATTTTACATTTCTCTGCTCGTCTTTTCGCTCCATTTTTTTATTTAATAGAATAGAAATTTAATTCCCCTTTCTTCTTTTTCACATTTATAAGGTTAAAGAAATTAATAGATCATTTAATAAATATCGTTAAAAAACTTCACCACTTCACATCCACGTGCTCATCTCATTCTTTACTTTCCTGGAGACGGAAACGGAAATAGTGGCGGTACGTATCCGACGCGAATCGTGGCGCTAACCGTTACAAGCGAGCAATAACGATATGTTTACTATTAATGACATGTTAATAATAACAGATAATATAGAGTCTTTTGTATTAATATATCAAGTTTTTAAATATTTATTTGGACAATAAAGTCTTATTCTATTTAATATTAATATAAATGTAATTTGTAAAATCAACCAATGAAATGATCGTAAGCTGATCCGCCATCTTTCATTGTCCACTTACTGAATCGTACCATTTGATTGTAATGCTTAAATATACGAAAGTATGCTTATTTTAAAGTGTATTTAAATTATATAGTATTATTCATATATGAACATAAAATGTATCATTAAAATAAATTAACTATCAATGTTCAAACAAAATATTTATCACAATGTCGAGATTACGTACTTGAATGTTATATACATTTAATAATGTTCAATATTCAACTATCAAAACTCTAAAATATGTAAAGCCTTTAATGATTAAATGGTGTATCACTATATAATAATAAAATTATACAATTCCGATCATCTATGATCGAAAAAGTGGTGGCTATCTAATGTATAACATCGAATGTAATAATTCATTCGAAACCCTTAATGGACAGCAATTATAACACATCAAATATATTAATATTAAACAAAACTACACCGATGCAACCAATTCTCTACAGAAAAAAGATTGTGAGTAATATGCCTTTGTATTTTTACATCTTCCGTAGTAGTGTTTGCGGTGTAATAAACGTTCGTATATTTACAACGAATTTCAACACGCGTCAGCAACATTCAATTGTCAAAAGCGGTATAATATGCTTTGTCAGTCCTGGAGGTAACGTTCACAACTTACTGCACCGAGGACCGTCACACTTGGTTAACCAAGACAATCGGGATCAACGATCAGTTGCAGCGCACGTGAAGTTAAAGGTAGCCTTGTCGATCGTCGTCCGGAATTACTTCATTCTTCAAAGATTCTTTCACTTTTCTTTATCACTGTCCAAACAACAAATAACCTAAATTATCGAACTATGATACTGTTTTGTGTCTGATCACTATCACGCTACCTAGTTACTGTGAAGTAATATACGAGGATAAAAAGGTAAAGAGGATACCCTAAAGAACAGAAACGTAGCGTAGACCAAGTGCCGATATGCTTTGGATGGTACTTGCTACGCGCCGTCTTCGAGGTGATAGAACGTACAATGTTCGGAGCACCGCGATACATTCGAGTGTTTCTATACTTGTGTACTTGTTGGTCGATATTTTGCACAATTTTTTTTATTTTCCCGAACTTCCTTGGCGGAAGAGCCCCAGAGAAATTGGCCTCTAAACAAACGGAATATCGGAGAGAAATAGTGGACGTCATGAGAATACCATCAAGAGAATCCAATTTGAATGACGAACAGGTACGTTCGTTGTTTCGCTTGCACATTAATTTATTTTCATTTCTTCTGCGCAATTATTGAATAATTTTTTTTATCGACCGTGCCACATACTAGCTTAATATCTGTGAAATATTTAAACCCTGGTAAGGATCGTGTACCATCACATCGGAGAGAAATAAACTATTTCAATCGTAACCCACTGCTTTAAATCCCGTTTCAATTAATTTTCTCTTTTCCTCTGAATAAAAAGTCCTCCAGAAAAAATTCTTATATTTACAAAATAATTAATTCACACCTTTCCTCGTGTTAGATTGGTAAGATGACTTCACTTGGAAGGTGGCTTTTGTCTTCTGAGGGAAGTTTTCCACCGCCGAAAATTAATACGAAAAAGGAACCCTATTTGATTTTAATTTGGATGCACGGGAAGTTTTTGGAACGCAGGCACATCAAACGCTTTACAGACAAACAGTTAATAAAACCGAGTCATTATATTAATAAAAATAATAGTATAATTTGTTCAACAGTACGAATGTGTGTTAGATCCTATTCGAAATAGATATTGCGAAGAGTAACGTGAATAATAACGTTTTCAGATATTCTCCGTGGGAGGATTGCTCGGTATCAGAATGCGTGATATCGTATCGGCCGAAAGATATAGTTATAGCGGATGCGGTTATATTTCATTTACACTTAACGAAAGGTGTATCCGAATTGCCAATTAGGAGTCGGCGGGAACAAAGATGGATCTTCTTGACCGACGAATCACCGATGCACACATTCCTCTATGGAAATCAGCAAATATCGGAATATAATGGTTTATTCAATTGGTCAATGACCTATCGAATGGACAGCGATGTTCCGGTACCGTATGGCCGAGCAATACCTAGATCACATGTAAATTTTGAAAAAGATACCTCGAAAGATGACGTCAAGAAAACAAAAAAGAAATTGGTTGCTGTGATGGGCAGCAACTGTGGCGGAGCGAACAATAGATGGGGCTACGTGAAAGAGCTTAAAATGATTCTTGGTGATGATCTCGATATATACGGAAAATGTTTGAACGGTAACGCGACTGCGTGCCCAGGCCATTTCTTTAACGATTGTCACCATTTAAATGCTTATAAGTTCTATTTAGCCTTCGAGAATTCCAATTGCAAAGAATATTTAACGGAAAAAGTATTTTGGAACGGTTATAAAAAATTAGCGGTTCCAATAATAATGGGCGCGCCAAAAAGAGATTGCGAACGATTGCTACCACCTGATTCATACCTACATGTTTTAGATTTCGCTAACCCATCAGCCTTAGCTAATTATATACGATATCTTGATCGTCATGACGATAAGTATCTCGAATTTCACAAATGGCGTAAATATTACAAAGTAATCAATGAACACGGTTATTTTAAGAGCATTTCCCGACATTACTGCCGTGTTTGCCAGGCTTTACATTACAATTCTCCTGATATTAAAGTATACGAAAATTTGCAATTATTTTGGAACAAAAATGAAGATTGCACCCCTTGATATCTTTAATTACGTTATGTGGTTGTACAGTAATGTCATGAATAATGAAATTCATATTATTTAGTAATAATTACTTAAATTATTAAATTATGGAATTATAATAGATTAATTGCATATTCATAGGGCTAATGTATCATAATATACGGGTTCCTGATATTATTGTACAATAGTAATTGTAACCTGTTATAATTACAAGAGATTTCTAATCATTTAGTGGATTATATAACGCATTGTTGAGGCTATAATTTATTTACAACAATTTATCACATGTTATATTTTGTATGATGTAATGCGTATTAAAGTCGGATACTATTATACGCAATAAATACATATATTGTACATTTCATAGTAAATATAAAGTAATTATTTATATATACATCGCAAAAGTATTTTATACATTAATTGTTAAAACTTTCATAATGACAGTATTAGGTTAGAATGTTTCATCATGTTTATGTTAATGTTTTACGTAATACAATAAAAAATGCTCAATCCGTGTCACGTAAAGAATTCCAGCAACGTTTCTGTACCCTTTCAAGACAATGTCATAAAATAGTTTATTCTAAAGTATTTCTTCGGAAAATTTTTACCAATACTAGTCATTCACTATGTACTAGATTGGTGGATGTTTCAGTACACAGTACTATATCTATGAAATTCTGTCTTGTTACTAAACTATGGAAACAACATCAATTTTTATCAAAGTTCCGGTACGTTTTATCTCCAGCGTTTTATTATACTACACACTCTATTAAACCGTCTCCAACTATGACTTCGAAGTGTTTTAAAGGGCACAACGATCATTACAACGGCGTAACTGTCGATTCAAATGAGGAATCTTGCGTACCAGAAGTATTTGCTCAGCGTCTTAAAAGTATGTGATACAACATTTGTTAATAAAAAATTAGAAAATATGTTATTTGATTAAAAATTTGTTGTTCTCTATTTTCATTGTTATTTTATTATTTTTGTACAATATTTATAAATATTCTAGACTAATATTTTTTTCTAATTGTGACTTTATAATAGTTTCCTTGCAAGAATGGATAAAAGATAAAAAGCGTACCATATGGTTTCGAGTACATTTATCACATTCTGAATGGGTCCCGATACTGGTTAAAGAAGGATTTAAATTCCATCATGCGCGAGAAGAATATGTTTCACTGTACTTATGGTTGGTTAAAGATGAGGAATGTAATGTTCCACATTATGCTCACACAAATTTAGGTGTTGGAGCATTTGTGTACAATGAGAAAACTAAAGAAGTTTTAGTCATTAAGGAAAAATATGCGCAAAGATCACCATTTTGGAAACTACCGGGTGGATATGTAAACCCAGGTATAAATATCCATGTTTAATTGAAACATTTTTAATCAAATAATTCATAACTATTCCATTAATAGGTGAAGATATAGAAGCAGCTGTGAAAAGAGAGGTTCTTGAAGAAACTGGCATTCAAACTACTTTTAAATGCTTAATAGGTTTTAGACATACTCATGAGCATGCATTTGGCTGTTCAGATATATATATAATTTTATACTTATCTCCTAATAATTTTAATATTAAAAAATGTGACAGAGAAATTTCAGAATGTCAATGGATGAAGGTAATAAAATCTTTTCTATCATCATACAAACATAAATTTTCTATGTGTTACTACCAAATTGATTATTTTAACAGTTAACAGAATATATAGGACATTCAGAAGTACATGGAAATAATAAATTGGTTGCAAGAAAAATGTTGGAATTCTTTAAGCACAAAATGGGTCTTACTGTGGAATATGCACAACACCCTATTTCAAACAAGCCTATAGCTGTGTATACTATAACAAATACAGCTGAAGCATAATAATGGTGATTGGTAAACAAATTAGTAGTTAGGTAATCTCAAAGTTATAAAACAATTGTAAATCTTATATGATTAAGAACGAATAAAACATTAGACTTACTCAAACAAAAATACAAAACATGTAATGAAGTACATTATTATGTACAATGTTATTCTGTATCTTATATCAACGCATGTTCTAATATGTACACAGAATGAAATTAAATACCTACTGTTAACATTAAATTATAATACAATAACAATTTACATACCGCAAATACATTAACATTTTTAAGGTAATATAACTACATAATATGGTGAACTATTGGTGAAATATTGGTGAATTTAACTATATGTAGTAACATTAGTGTTTATATATTAAAATTTAGATTATTTACTTTATTAGGAACACAATATGACAAATGTATATACCATAACTTTCATTTAAAACCATGTCCTTATTATTCAATTATGATGTGTTTCTTCTTGCTTCATCAGAAAATATTTTATATTAGATTGGTGGATACGTAATGCATGTACTTACATAAGTAGTTAACGTATTAACTACATAATAATAAATAATATTTATTTAACACGTTCAACCCGGCGTGGACCACCAGTGGTCCACGGGCATTACTATCATCTGGCGGCGTGGACCACCGGTGGTCCACACTTAGTTTGGTCCATCTGGCGGTGTAATATAGAGACTTCCAAAAAATGCGTCGAGTTGAACGTGTTAAGAATGTTCCTAAAATATTTTAAAGAATAAAAGATTAGAAGAAGATTATGATCGTAAAATAAAAATATTATAAACACAAATTGTACTCTGCCGGGCGTGAACCTGCGATAAAAACACTTCCAGCGTATTTACAGCCGGATAACTTAAACGCTTCGCCAAACAAATTGTTGAAATAAATGATGAAATTTTGAGAGATAATGCATATTCGTTTTCGATTAACTTCAATAACTTCATTTTTTTTCATATGCACGTTATTTTTTAAAATTCTAAAATACTAAAAGTCACATAACATAGATACTATACAAAGTACACTAAAAACCTGAAAAAATTTTGAAAGGCCAACAAATCTGAAAAAATTTGAGAATGTCTGTCATACTAATATGTTTACTAATGTAAAAATTAAAAAGTTGTTGCTCGAATGCTTCGTTACAAAATTTATATTTTTCTATTTTTTGGGGGGATTTTTAATTTTTCATGCTAAGAATTTGGAACTAAAATCTCAAAAAATTCTCAACCATGCACTACTATGTCAAAAATGTCTTCGAATTTTTTCACAATTTTTACGTATTATTCAATAGGGAAAATGGGGCAAAAACTGATAATTCGAATTTACTCTATAATTACCCTTCTGTTTGAGCTAAAAATTGGCGTACAATGTTTTTTATGGGTAAGCTATCGAAAGAAACTTTTTCGAGAAAATTTGGTCTAAGAGCACTTCTGACCCCGTTATCCTGCTATAGCCTTCCCAACTTCAAATTTTTTCAAGTAGATGAAAATCTGTTTATTATTTGGATGCAATTTTTTATGTTATTTATTGTGATTTTTTCTTTTTGATTGAGAAATTTAACTTTTAATAATACCATTATAAATTTTACTTAAAAATCTTAAGTACGAATTGTGGCTAAGGCAAACCCAGTGATTGTAATTGTAGATGGTAAGTACATAGCTCTATGTATACAATAGGTCTCAAAAAGAATGGTATCAGCGCTCTCTGGTGTCATGATTTATAATCCACGAGTGGTCTCAGATTTTATTGAATACTATACCCTGTGTTATATCTGTATTGTCGTACTGTGGTCAACGAGTAACAAATATAACAAGAAAATGGAAGAACACGTATTTATTTAAGGTGATACATCAGTTTATTGATTTATTTTTTAAACAAAACAACTGATTTTTTCTATAAGATGATTTAAGGAAACTTATCGAGAACAATTCATACACAGGGAGCTGGTCAATTCGCGATAAAGTATCGCTGTCAAGATGAGTAAAATGTATACAACCGCAAACCTTTCTGACAAGGAATTAAAGGAACAAGGAAATCGTTTTTTCAATCTTCACAAGTATGAAGATGCAGCGTGTTGCTACACAAAAGCTATAGTAAGTGTTCTTGTGGTTATAGTACACAAAGAAATTATAATGTTACATTGATTTATATAGATTAAAAATCCGTCCCAAGCATTGTATTTTACGAATCGAGCACTGTGCCACCTAAAGCTCAAACGATGGGAATCATCCTGCCAAGATTGTAGACGTGCTCTAGATATTGATCCATGTTTGGTAAAAGGTCATTTCTTTTTGGGTCTCGCACTTGTGGAATTGGATCTTTTCGATGAAGCTGTTAAACATTTGCAACGAGGTACTTATATGCATCATTCATTGATAGATTTTAAGTTTTTAATTTGTATACAACGGATCACCATAAGGCAGTGCCTGAATAATTAAGAATTCTTTTTAATATGCTTTGTGTTAGTGCATAGCTTGTTTAACCATGTGTGCTGAGACGAAATGTTATGCACTTTGAGTGTTGACTATCTCAAATGTGGACATGGCGCTTATGTTATTCGATCTTACTGTTCAATAAAGTTTGGACAAGTTTGTCACAGCTGTCCATCAATTACCAGCACAAGTGGTTAATTCATATTTTTCTTGTGCTCCGTTATAATTGGGTGAAGATAGCTCTAAGTAGAGTGCAACATTTATTCGGTAAAATACCTAGTTAAATAGAATTTGGAAAAGATGTGAATTAAATAAGTTGAGTATACTACAAATTTGTGTTATACAGTGACGCCTGCTTAAATTTCACAAAACTCAGGAGCCAGTAGTGAAATTCTTACAGGCAGGGTACAGTTTGTCTTCTAAGAATTGACATGGACACGACTCGACTAAGTAAGAGAATAGATATAACGAGTGCAAGTGAGATGAACGCAGAATACCTCAAGCAGTGACGGTCGGGGCCCAATATTTCAAAGCTATACCGTAATTTAAAAAAAATAAACACATAAGAGAGAAAATTTCATTTTCAGTCATTTTCATCTTATCTTTATAAGTGTAACACCAATGGATTACTAAGATTTTCTCGATTAAAATGAGTCCAAACACGACGCGAATTGGACTAGTTTTATCGATTTGAAGTATTCATATATTTAATTCTGTTATTTATATTAAACCGGTAAAATTAGTCCGATTTGCGTCTTGTTTAGGTTTGTTTTAATCGAAAGAATCTCGGCTATCTGATGCTCCAATTATAAAAATAGGATTAAAATTGCGGAAAATGAAATTAATGTATGTCTGTTTTGTATTCTTTTCATTGTATTCATTGTATTCATTGCCTACTGAGATGAGACTTTGTTGAGCTCGAGGGACTAACTGCTGGGAGAAAAGTGTGGATGAGTCTTGGAAATTTAACCATACAGATTTTAGTGAAATTTAAGCAGGCATTACTGTATATAGTTACACAGAAATATTTCACAAATATTCTTTTTTATGGTACTCATGGTGTTACAATAATTTAAAATTGATCCTTTGTGTTCTTATGCGCCTTGAATAATAATTGTTTAGCTGTGGATTTGGCGAAGGAACAAAAATTAAACTATGGGGATGAGATGACCAGTATTCTAAGACAAGCAAGAAAACGTTGTTTCCAGTTAAGGGAAGAGCAAAGGATAGCACAAGACATTGAGTTACAATCATATTTAAATCAGTTGATAGTAGAAGATGCTGAACGAAGCATAGCTGCTTTAAAAGAACAAGAAGCGACAATAGAAACAAATGGAAAAACTGAAGGAGAAGCTGCATCTGATACATTTACAAGAAAAAAAGAAGAAGTAGAAGAAAAAAGAGATACGTGTATGGCTCGACTTAATGATTTATTTGAAAAAGTGGACGAACGAAGAAGGGTGAGTTTTTTCTTTATTATATTTTTTAATTATATATGTATAACAAATAATAATTGTCCATTCATGGTTTTATGAACATATCGAGTAGAAGAGGGAAGTACCTGACTACTTATGTGGAAAAATTAGTTTTGAAATTTTGCAAGAACCAGTAATTACACCAAGTGGAATTACATACGAGAGAAAAGATATAGAAGAACATTTGCAAAGGGTGGGACATTTTGATCCAGTTACTAGAGTTCGTTTAACTCAAGATCAGTTAATCCCAAACTTAGCAATGAAAGAAGTAGTAGATACGTTCCTACAGGAAAATGAGTGGGCATTATATTATTAACCTTTTGTTGGGCGCAATATAGACATTGACATCATTGGACACAATATATCAGAATGATTGCAGAGTATAAATGGGGTACAATGATAATAATAATAATAATAAGATAACAATTGACAGTATTTTCCTGTTATTAAAGATCTTAAATTCTTCAAAATATCTTAAATTTGATTAGTTGTAACTGTAATTATTAATATACAGGGTGTCACAAAACAATGTTATCACACTTTGATTGTTTATAAAGTGTATATTAAATATTGTACAATTTGCTTTCGATGTTTATAACGAACTGTGTTGGGGGGGAGGTATACATAAAATTCAGCGTTTTACCAGCTAATGAAGTGTAGTAACATTTTTTTGCGACAGCCTGTATAAGAGCGGCAGCAACAAATACGTTTCGCTTCAAAATGTGAAATAAAATTGTTTGATGTGTATCAATCTGGACAGTTGCGTCCAATGGAAAGTTAAAATGTATACTTAGATTACTGCCGTGTTTTCATGATGAAATGTTCTTTTTTACTTTAATTGAATATATCCAAGTCATTATTGTTGTATAATTTGTTAAAAAATTATAAATGTATTATGTAGAAACAAAATTTATTACTTTAAAAGTTTTCTAAACTGTTTGTGTATTACTTGTAAAAAACCAGCACAGCACCCGTAAATGGGTTTTTAGGTAATATAGATCAGATCATGTATATTACAATTGTATATCTCTTTTTCCCATAATTGATAAATAAAGTAACTTATTTTGTGACATATACACATTCTTGTTTTCTTACACAATTGTTCTTTAGAAAATAATTTATGGTAAGTGAACAGTAATCTGTAAGATATTCTGTCAATTATTCATTTGTATTAGAAATCTTTGTATATATGATATTCAATGTTTAAACAATGAAATTTTATATATAAACAGAATTTATGTATTAGAGAAATTTTTAAGAAGTAATAAAGTTTAATGTAATAAGACTAGTAACTCCAGCAACTATGGGTGGCATATAATATTGATAAAATTGTGGACGATCTGCTGCTCCTATTAGAAGTATGATCCAGCCTACAAAATATAATACACTGGCTAATGCTTGTGATCGAATACCTTGATATTTAGGAGGAATTTGTAACCAGCCTAATGTACTACATGCTACTAAGATTGTCCAGCTATGATATAGCAGGGGATCTTCAGTAGATAACCTTATGTCATAACTGAAACATATAAATAAAAAAATGCATAAATTAAAATTATATTTTTCATTACATTTCGTTTATGTATATTATTGGTACCTAGAGATACAATATAATAGTCATGTAATAACAAACCTGAAATTTTTTGCCCAAACTAGAACAGATGGCATAGCTGGAATAGCAGTGAAACACCAAAGCAAGAAAAGAATAAGATGATTGAATATTTTCTGTCTAATGTCTTCGTGTTCTGTAGAATTGTTTTTCGTATCTTTTGATCGTTTAATCCAATTAAAATGTTGCAGAGAAGCCATTAAAAGTTCTTCTAAATAATCCTCATACATTCTTGTCAAATTTAAAAAATACAAAAATACCGAAATTATCATAGCTAAAGCTCCGCAAGTCGCAGGAATTATCGATAAAACAAAAATCGTTGTAATAAATGGCAACTGATTCAATCCACCGAGTATCCAATCTGACCATGTTGTTGAAAAGGCGATTGCACGTGCTAAGAATCTAAAAGAATCGACAGATTTACTTCTATATAATATAAAAAATATATAGAATTATATTTAGTAAATAATTAAATATTTTTACCTCACAGCAATACCATGTGCCACTGAACCCAAAAATATAATGGAACAACACAATCCAATGGTGATTACACAAAGAATTGCCAAAGCAATGAGGCATTCGAAGATTAGATCATAATAATACGAAAGAAGTATTGTAATTACTATAGTTGGAAGTCGTTCACGGCCGTGATTAATTCTTATTGATAGAAATATTAAAAGTAAACTGATAATCGTTGTATACAGAAGGTACCAGCGATCCCTGACAATACAGGAAATTTTATCTATAATACTGCCTTCTTGAATATCGATTGTATAAGAACACGCTGGATCTAAAGTTAATTTCAAATACGGAGAATCATTAGAATATTTATATCTGGTTTGCATTTTCATCGTTTTCGGCCCGTTATCACTAAAAGCAATACAAATTTTGTTTTCATTTATGCCTTCGAAATTATAACGTACCTGTTTTAATTATCTGTACTTACACAACTGTAAAAAATTGAATTTGCGTGACACCAATACTACCAGGCTCGCGTAATTCAACGATTGCATTATGTTTTGGATCTGTACATTCAGAAGTTTTAAGTTCAATTGTTATAACATTTATATTGTTGTCAATAGTAACATAGTATCGTACATGTCCGATATCAGATCTTTTAGCTTGGGATCTTATGAATAAAGTTTTTAATAAAGGTATACTGCCCTTAAAAGGTATCAGTCTTGTTTCATAATCATGTAAATCAACATTTACTAAAACATGTTTGTCTAAATCATCTGGTGTAATTCTTATTACAATGTGTGTTACTCCAGGATATTTTATTTCTTTAAGATTTAAGTCGACTGTTTTTCTTTGACGATATAAAAGATCCGGTAAAAGTTTTGTCCTATTACTTAAATTCCAGCCCCAAGTACTAAAACAAATAGATAGCAAATAAACATATTTTCGGTTTATTTGAATAATATTCTAATATATTAAAATATGTTATTACCAAACCCTTGATTGTCCTTGAATGCTAGACGCTGCACACGCAAATAACCAATCTTTAGATTCCAGATTTATAGTATCAATAGTTAATTGATCAGGTTGTCTGTTTAGTCTAATCATAAGGTAAACAGTAGATGTTTTTTTTGATAAATTTTTGTTGCTCCATGTATACTGTGTTCTAATATCTTCTATCCATTGACCACCAGGTTCAAACTGTACTGTTTCTTTATAATAATATAATCTTTTTCCAGCAGCATGCTACAAATTGATTGTATTAGAAATATTAATATGCAGGCATTAAGAATATTAAGAGATTCTTACATGATGGAAATGATATGATAAAGCTTGCATCCTCTCTTCAGGCTTGGAAGAAATTCTAGGTGGTCTTTGAGAAACATTAACAGAGTCAAATAATGAACGCACAACAGTGAAAACTAATTGTTTACACCAAAGAATGCTTAAATGATCTGTGGATTTCCAGACATCTGGTATATTGGTTGAAAGAACATTAATATCTGCTGTAGTATCTATATGTTGTGTAGTAGTTACAAGTATATCTCGTGGTCCACCACCTATCGATATAATGTTTACTTCTGCATCTTTAATTTTATTTAATTGGTTCTCTAAATTATAGTAATAATTGGCTAAAGTTCTATCTAAGACTAACGTAGGTGTATGAGGAGTAGCCAAAGTGATAATAATATTTGTCACACTGGCATTTACATTAGAAGTTAATAAGACAGAACCTTTAGCAACGAGACCTCCCTACAATAACAAAACTGTTTTTTAAAACTGCATTACATTAACTAAATAATTATTGTACTTACCATTGAATGTCCGATAAGTATAACATTCTCCACGCTAATTTTGTATAAACTTAAAATTTTCTGTATACAATGTGAAACATATAAAGTTTCTTCCATTAATACACCTTGGATTAATAATTCATTAATTACTAACTTAATACAATTATTTTTAGAAGACATTAATAATTATTAAACTATCATTAGCATGAAAAACTTTATATATATTTATTTTTTGTACCTCCATATAAAGCAGAATAATCCTTGCCCAATGAAACTGTGAAATAGTCAAAATGAAAAGGGGTTCTATCTTTTAAACTTTTCCTTAAGCTCACCGAAGCAAGAGATCTTACTAAAGAAGAAGAAAGACATGTATGCATTAAAAATAAAATAAATTTAAGACACAAAGATTTTATGAATAAATTGTAAAAACCTTGCTCATGAGATCCAGCATTTCCTGGTATAAAAAGAACTGGTATTCCGGAAAAATACATTCTTCTATGTTTTTCCGTAACAAAACCCTCTCCATATACATATAATCCATATCTAGGATATCGTTCCTCTATTTCGTTATCCAAAGATATCCTCTGATGATGATAATAAAGTTTTAAATTATACAAGTATAAGCAGAAAAATTATAGTCTTTAAAACAAACATTCATGTTTAATGATATTAATTGCTATAATGATAAGTTTCATTTAAAAACTATCAAAAATGATTTTGCAAATGAAACTTACTTGTATTTTTATATTTTATCTTATTTGAGACTTAGATACAATCTTATCTTATTTGGAATATTAAGAAGATCTTATTTAATTAATGTTATTATAAAAAGCTACACTATGATTATTTATGTTACATACACTACTAATTAATATTGGTAAGTAATGTAATTTAGAACAATCAGTGAGAGGACCCAAGGGTTACAATAAATTAGACTAACATTCATTCATTTTGTTTTAATTACAATAAAATTTCATATTACGTTTACGTACCACATACTGTGGATATTCAAACATATATGTCATATCGCAAGTATTTTCTTCAAAATCCGTAATATAACGAGCGGCTCCAAGAATGTAGAGTAAAAGGAATAACATTAAAAACGAAAAACATGTGGCGTAGATCAATATAGATCTAAAGAGTATCATTTTTATTTTGTTCAATAATTTATATGAAATGATCAAAATTATGAATCCTAATAGAAGTCTTCATTAGTCGGCACAACGCGAGATATTTAACAATAAAATGATCACATTATGTTGTAATACAAATAAATAATGTAACATTAACTGAAGAAAAATAATTAATAAGACTTAACATGTTTAAGCTGTAAGATTACGACACTGAGAAGACTGAATTGGTTATATGTAATCATGTACCTATATAATACAGAACATATCTCTGTGTTGTATCAAGTACCTATACTACTGCGCAATCTCGTTTATCTATATATGAAAAATGTATATTTAAAAAAGTATTGAATAATAATAAAAAATAACATTTACAACTAGAAAATTATTGGTGGTTAATCATACGAATCCCATTTTTTAAACATTATTTGATTTTATTCTGTAAATTGTACAAATTGAAGGACTTTCAAATTTTTCAGTAACTGTACGATTTGTACGTCCATAGAAAATTAACTTTTTTATAGTGCAAAATGAACTTTATTATATATAATTTATACTTCTACGTGAATGAAACCAGGCATTTTTTCGTTGCGTCTTATGAGAATGTCATGATCTTTCAAGTGAAAGGATGTTTCAGTTGTGAAAAACAGAGTTATTTCAAACTTACATAGGTAGGTGTATTTATTTGTAAGTAGATACCTACAAGCAAATAGTGTTCACATAACATCATAAACGTAATACTATCTTATTTTCAATGAAAAATTAAGGGAAAAATATTGAAATAGAATATCTTAAATAAGGTATATTTATTTATTAATTAAAAAACATGATTATAGATATATAAAATTTATTGTGCGTACTAACATGTACATATATTTTTATAAAAGTTGGAATAAGATAACAATGAATGAGATAAGATATCTTTTATGCGGTATTGTGTTTTCTTTCAATTTTACATGTTATACAAAATTCTACTTCTAGATTCATGATTTATTACCAATATGTTAAACTTAAATTTAAAAAAAATAGACTTTCTTATTTAATTAGTATAAATAATTAATTTTCGTTGTTTTCAAACGTATTTTTAGTTTGCATGTTTAGTTTTCTATACATTTTTAGGATAATATTGGCAATAATATATTTTTTCTCTGAAAATGAAGTTTGAAGACATACAGAATCACAAAGTCATTGCATCAGAGTATATAAAGTTATCTATTTAGTTTAAACAGTTAGTCTTTTCTCTGAAAGTAAATTATAAATATTGTATTTAGTCAGAAGCATCTTCTTTTGATACGCTAAATGGTTCTGCTACAACTTCTGCTCCACAATCAGCAATTACAACATCCTTGGTTGGTTTATCACGAGTATCAGTACTTATATTTTCAATTTTTCGTACTATATCCTATAAAATTACTTACATGTAATAACTGTGTAAAATACTTTAACATAAAAGAAAATTGATGTAACATACCATGCCTTTAATTACTTTCCCAAAAACAACATGTCTACCATCGAGCCATGGTGTTTGCTTGACAGTAATGAAAAACTGAGAACCATTGGTGTCTTTTCCAGCATTTGCCATAGATAACCATCCAGCACCATAATGCTTCAGTTTGAAGTTTTCATCTTCAAAACGATTTCCATAAATGCTATGTCCTAAACATAAAAAAGATATATTAAATATAAAGCTTTGATATGTTATGATAATTTTACAAGTTTCATAGAATTGAATTTTATATTTTATATTAAATAAATTTTAGTAATTTTATTTTATTTTAAGAAAAAATTGAAATAAACCTCCAGTTCCATCTCCTTTTGTAAAGTCTCCTCCTTGGATCATAAACTCACGGATGACTCTATGAAATTTGCTACCCTTATATCCTTCTCCTTGGGGTTTCTTAGCCAATTCCATGAAATTCTTCACTGTTTTTGGAACAGTTTTTCCAAACAGACCAATTTCAATTCTCCCTTCTGGATGACCACCGATACTAATATCAAACCATACCTGCATACAAAATATACTTAATTTCTTTTAAATTTCAAACATTTGTTACGAATTCCTTTCAGTTTTTTAATGTTTTCATAAATTTTATATAAAATGATTATAGGTACTGAATGTAATAATTCTTCAATAAAAAATGAAAAGGAATATTGTTTTACAATGATAAATCTTACGTTTTCCGCAGAATTTTATTTTTATCTACTTTGTTCGAAAACCAGAATTCTTTGTTGAGTTTATTACTTCGTGCCTGTTTAATTAATTTATTTACCTTGTCTGTTACTTTCGGACCTCTTTTATCGTCAGCATTGCTACTCGAACAGAAGACTGATACCGCAAGACCCACTAATAAAAATATTCTCATTGTTTATTAAAAAGATTTCAATTTGGCAAGAATCAAACAGACAAAGACTTCGGTAACGACTGCGCTCTGTCAGAATGGAACACAGTTGGAACGTGGCCCCCTCACGCAGGCGTACACGTTAGAAATGTGGGACCTTTTGATTGGTTACATTCACTTCATGCAGTGACGTACAAACAATTTTTATAAGAGAAATATTGTGTATATGTTCATTTATAAATTATCATCAGGTTTAAGATAATCTACAGAACTATAATCAATTAATTTTCTTTATATATTACAAAAAGAAACGATCAAAATTGCTGTAGTAGTTTTTGACAAATAGATAAACACACGGGAATAAAAGAAACACGACTAAATCGGAAATCGTTTTGAAGATTATGAAATTAATTATATCACACACGATAATTGAGTTTATTTTATCAGATTTATGTGAAAAAAAATATATTACTTCAACGTAAGAAATATTGTAGTTGTTTTAATAGAGAAAATTCTTTTCCGATCTTTTTAGCGATTTTTAATTGTATCCCTTATCTTAAAGCTTTCTTCCGGCTTTAAATGAAATTTAAAAGGTCTAACGGAATTTTGAATTTTTTTTACTTCTGTGAATTCTAATTAAATAACATTGTTCAGTGTATTTTTAAAAAGATGCGTACAATTGCAAATAAGTGAAATTGATAAGTACAAAATTATTTTGTTATTTATAAAATTATTAATTATAGATTCAGTACACAACAATAATGAAAAAAGGGTTCGTGCAAACGTTGTTCTATTTGACTTTATTTCCCAATCGATGTTATTTTTCTGCCGTAATTATTTTCAACTGCATTCACAGAAATCATTTGAAGTGATCATTTTCAGCTCGAATGTGAGTATATATTTATTTATGTATGTATATAAACCTTTAACCGTCTTATCATTGACATCCTGATTAGTTCGAATGCGACAGGTATGGGTAGTTTAAATTCACTGATAGTACTCTTTAATACGCTGCTGCAATACACCAAGTCACATAAAATCACTTACCCTTCTTGTAAACTGAAGGCTCTGAAAACTTGTGCAACACCAAAAAATGGCTGCAATATCGACAGAAAGTTAAATAGAACAAACGTTTGTATGAACATTTTTATCATTTTTATGTACTGAAGCTACCAGTGTACAGAAGATGCTCCATTTTAATTTCTGTAAACAAACATCTTAAAAATATAAGTCCGAATATTCGGGAAAATTTGAAATTATAAAAATCCTTTCAATAGAAACTTATATTTTCTGTTATGCTTTTCTGTAACTGGTATGGGAATATATTTGTGCATTGGTGTATATTGAGTGAACCATTCCGAAGATGTTACGACCCGTTCATCAAAGGAAGAGCTCCGGGAAATATCGGCAATTAGAATGACTGTTCATTTCATTGCATTCACTTCAGACTAATGGCCTTTAGGTATTCAGAATAAGCTGTGCATACAGCTTATTTAATTACCGCCATATCTTAAGGCTGTTCTTTCGAAAAACAAACCATAATATTGGGTTAAAAAAACGAAGAAAGAAGTGTCATTTATACACGTTACAATAGTTTAAAAACAGATGTTTATTTCGAAAAAAATTGTTGTATTAACCACGTACAAAAAACGTCAATATTTTTGCATCAATCTAATAATACTTCTTGTTAATGTCGATTAAACTAGTAGAATTTGAACAGCTTTGAAGTTGTAACGTAAAACTAGCAAATATTAATTTTCGAATATAAATTAATGATTCATTCATAATTTTTATATATTTTACATTAAAAAAAAACAGCTTTGAAACTTTGAACTTAATATAGAGTACATTTACATATAGATGTATATATCTTAATTTTACGTATACAAGTCCGTAAACTATTTTAAATTCAGAGATAAGAGGAAATGGAAATTGCATTTGAAGTATTTTATTGTAAGAACAACTTGACAGATTATTTTTTTTAATATGGCATTCCTTTATTTTGATAGGTATTCATTGATCGATTCTATTTTTCTTATTTTTTCTTATTTTTCTTAGTTATATAATATTATAAAATAATTAAAGCGGAGAAATATAAACATTATTACAAATATTCGATATGTCATATCATCGATGGGTTTAATGAATTACTAAATGTAAAAATGTAATAAAGTCATATTATAAGAAAACAATAACGTGATTATTCAAACACAATAGAAAAATAATCGATAGCTGTACGCATTATTATTAATTATTGTACAAACTTTTTCTTGCTTATTGAAGCAATGAAACAAATAACAGCAATATTATTTGCAATACTCGCTACCGGT